ATTATGATATTAATATAAGAGCATATCATTTACTTATATTATAGAAAATTTTTTTTGACTAAAAACCTAACTAGTGTGCTTCCCCTACCAACTACCAGCTTTAATATTTTAATATTTACATCTACACCTATCGATGTTATGATTATACATGTATACTTACTTTCTTAATTAACGAAAAATCATATATTTTATTAACTTATTCTCAACTGTCAGTTGCTTCAATATTTCCAGAATATACTAGAAAATTCTCTCTAATCGAAAAAGTTGCTTTATGCAAACAAAACTGTTCCCAAAACATGTTTATAATACAGATATCATCTGATTTCAACCGATGGTAATTTCCTGTACTTTATTCCCACACCGTCATCATTATCTGCATCAACATCAACATCATGATCATCATCAACATCATGATCATCATCAACATCATCATCATCATCATCATCTTCGTCTTAGCGTTCTTTTGTTGTCCCTCGTGACGGTCAAGGGGCCATTTCTATTGTATAGCAGCAGTCGCATGAGAATATCCCAAGTTGAGCATAAAATTTCCCAGTATAAGACGATTATTTCCCACTGTTTGCTAAGCATGAGGCTTCTCCTGAGTTATGTACTTCTTTAGAGCTAAACGCGCAAATATTCCGTTTAGCTCAATTAATTGAAGCTCTTTTGAGTTGAATAAATTAAATATTTTAGTTAATTGAAATTAATTAAAGTGTAGATAGATTTGATTAATATTATTTCACTTCTTATTCCAAGAATAGACTAAAATAATAAAATAGATGCTTTAAGGGTCTACTTAAATATATTTAGTTTACATTTAGCTGTTCAAGTGTCATTTAGGGGCGTGACACATGCCTATTATATATAGTTTATTTAGGTTAGTTTGATTCAAATTAGTTTTGGGCAGTAAACGAGTAATCAGATATAAATGAATGGTTAAATCGTGATCGTACGTATATAAAATGAATACAATAAATATAAGTAAATGCGTACAATGAATTATAAATAGCCGATTATAATTTGATACTTGATTTCAAAAAACTTTAGCTCTAAATAGATGGTTTCCCATTAAGTTGAAGTGGAAACTGTGATGAGAAAAGTCGGTTTTGTTTAATTCTCTAAAGTTCTATAAAAATGAGTATTGGTTATATTTAGTTCATCTACCGATTATATGTTTTATAATAGAGCTAACTATTTAGTAGTTAGATTGTGTTTTTTTTTTTTTTTTTTCGTTTTGATGTTAAACTTTATAACCTATCTGTAATTTGCATTTGTAATTTGCTTTTCGAGTTAGCTGCTTTCGTGTAGAGAGTTTGTTTTCTCTTATAAACGAGGCTTAAAACAGAGTTTAGCGATTATTTCAATATTGATATGAAATTGAAATGAAGCAATCCGCTAAGTACATACGGTGAGTCGTACCCACTTGAGTCCTTACAAGCTATGTACAAGATATGCATATTAACATACCTACTGAGAGAGGTTCTTCAACAGATAAATACGGATATATAGATATATATGTATAGAATCTTTTTATGTTTAAGACCTACAAAAAACTTTATAAAATAATCAATATCTATGTATGTATGTAATGTATGTAATTTACAATCTTAAATCTTAAAGAAGGCAGACAGTGGGCTAATGGGTTCCATCAGAGCAGATGTGTATCCAGTATATAACCAAATTTTATGTATGTTTACAGTCTTTTCCTCGTCGGAAATTGCCCAATTGAATCTGATCTACTCTATAGATAGAGATAGATGGAGATAGATGGAGATAGTTTGTTGTAAGGGAGTTAACAGAGAGGATAAAAGAGTGTATTATAAATTTATACTCTAAAACGTAAACAAATAAGTTATGTATATACACACATAATAAATAATACCCAAGTACATATTAGATTCATCAATAAGAGGTCAGTTGATCATCTATAATTAATCCTCTACAATCTATATGTGTATCTAAATAACTTTCATCATATACCATTCATATGTATAAATATCTTTGATATATCTCTCATATGCTATAGCAAATATTTGGGCTGTAGCTGGGTAGCTCGACTGTTGGCCTCTGTTTGGTGATTGTTCACATGTTCTTTTCATATATAATTCTTGTTGCTTTCTGCTTGTTTTTCATATTATTTCCGCTTTTGTGGCATGTGGCAGGCAAGTCTCCCCGGGGCGGCTTATGTTCCTGTTTCCGGCTAGTCAGAAAAAGTTTTGCCAGCTACCTGCTCCAAAAACTTTTCGCTTTACCAAAAACTTTTCTTCCTTCGGCTCTTTTCTTCTGTTTGCTGATTTCTCTCACTCTCTCTCTCTCTCTGTTTTGCTTCCTCTTTTTGCGCTGACTTTGCGTGTGTAGGGGGATTTGTGGAGCAGGGAGACCGCAAAAAATAATTAAAATTCATTCATTTGATTTGCAGGCTGAGCTGAGCAGAGCTGCGGACTTCCCTTCAACGCGGCGCTGCAGCGCACGGCTGCCATTTTGTGCACAGGGTGTCAAGGAAAACACACACACACGCACACAGATAGAAAGGAGAGGAAAAACTTTTGCAACAAACTGTAGCAGAATTAATTAAGTTTTCGTACGCATGAAAATTGTATTAACAAATGGGAATGGCTGGGGGCAGGCAGGTGGCCAGCCAGGTGCGCAAAACACGGGGAGGGGAGCGGGGTGTGGTGGCGGGTCAATGGGGACTCTGTGTCGGCCACTGGCATTGTATGTCATTAATAAAATTAACACTAGCAGACAACGTTGCACATGTCACAAGGAAACAGCTTGACAGGGGCAGGGACGGGGAATGAGAGAGAGAGAGAGAGAGAGAGAGGAAGAGCGTTCGTGTATGTGTGTGTGTGTGGGTGCAACAGCAGCGAGCAAAGAGCAGAGCAATTAAGTAACCTGCCAACGAAACAGTTGACACTGCTGCAGCGTACCGAAAAAAAAAAACAAAATAAAACAAAAAATAAAACAGAAACAAACATTGGGAGCAGATCCAAGCCCCGTCCCCTTTACCCCCCACAGAGAAGGGGTGTGGCAATGTGAGGGCTAACGGAAAAATATGCTTTATAGACGCCCCCGCCACACATTGACATTGATTGCTCAGCTTTTAGTTAGCTTTGCTGTGTGCTTGACCGGCCGAGGGGCGGGTGGGGGCTGACGAGTGGGTGGCGGGCTGCCAGTGGGGGATGCTGCAGAGCAAATGGGTTAAGTGAAGCAGCGCTGCTGCTGCTCTGCTGCTCTGGTGTTGCAGTCGCAGTCGGAGCTGACGTCGCAGCTGGCTGCGCTAATAAAATGAATGATTCATGCGCAGGCCACACACACACACACACACACATGCACACATGAGACTTGAGGCTGTAGCCGAGGCTGGAGTCGTCGCTGGCATCGTGTTGTGGGAGGCGCAGCTGGAGGACGAGGCGTTTATGTTAACAAATTAAAAGCAAATTGGGCGCCGCTCTGTCTGCCTCTCGCTTCGGCCTATAGCCGACTCGCTCGCTCTCCCGCATCGCTCGCAACTGCAGGCAGCTGCAGCTGCTCCCAGGAGCCAGTGCACAGATTTTAATTGAAAAGAAGTGCGAAAATGGAGAAAAGAAGAGCACAAGCAAAAGAGCCGAGCAGGCGCTAAGAAACGCTCGCAGAACGCGGGCAAAACGCGCGCGACTCGACTCGACTCGCTCTGGTGTAGGGCATAGAAAATATCGTTGGCTAATTAATTGTTAACGAATTTTCATTTTCTATTTGACGCTGCGAAATTGCCATTTATGGTTATTGGTAGCAGCAAACGCAGCGCAGGGGCCGGGGTGGCATCGGCGCTAGCGTTGGCGTTGGCTCTGACGTCGACGCTGGCTGAGAGTGGAGCATAATAATTTGATGTGGCGCAAATTGAAAAATGCTGCATAACTCCGCCCTTGGAAAAGTTGCTCACACACACGCACGCACGCACACACTCGCTGGCGAAGAAAATTGAAAACTCTTCAAGTCGTTTTCGGCAATGGCGCCTCAGTCGCTGCAAAAATTCCCAGTATTCATAAAGCAGCCTCGCAGCCAATGAAAGTTGCCAGGCGACAGCTGTTTGTCTCGCTCGCACTCGTGCCGCCGCTCAGTGACTCCATATTGAAAATGGCCACAAGCACACGCACACACACACACACACACACGTGCACAGACAAAACAGCATTTCTTTTAAATGAATTACCCCGGGACGCGACGCAGCAGCAGCAGAGGCAGCAGAGGCAGCAGCGCCAAGTTGATCAAAATTGAAACAGGCGACGCTGCGCATATAAAAATTAAGTGGTTGTTGCTTTTTGATGAATTTCCAGCTCGCTCGCACACACAGACACACACACACACACTCGCACACACAGACACGAGCTCGACCGCAACAACATGGCAACAATCTCTGCTTGCGCTTGGACTGCGCTGCCGCTGCTCGTTTTGGTTGGTGTTGGTGGCGGCGGTGGTGGCTGTGCTGGCCGTGTGCCCCTCTGTCTGGCTCGCTCTCGCCAATGCGCACGCCCGCTGGCTGCCTCTCGCTCGCGCCGACGCGCTCTCGCGCAGTCGTTGACGACGCTGGCGACGCAGCCTTGCGTGAAACTTTTGGTTTCCTCGCTTGGCGCGTCGTCAGCGGCGCTCAGTTCAAATTGAATTTTCATTGCGAGCGTTTGCGTCCGTCTGCTGCTGTTTTGCCGCTGCCGCACACACACACACACACATACGCTCATTGCTCCTCTCCTCTCTCATTCACTCATAATATTAATTATATATACATGTGCATAATCGCAGATACAGTTGAACAATAAATTTGGAGAGTCGCGCAGTGTGTTTTGTTTTCGCATTTTCGCATTTTTGCACGCCGGCCGACGGCAAACGCACCTGTATATACCTGTATATGCAAGTTGTTTTTTTTTTTTGAGCACGTCTAGCCAACACAGCCAACGGTAAACGGGTGCTATAGTATTTGTGTGTCCCAGTGTCAAGTGCGCGTACGTTCCAATTGCGTTTCATGTGTGCGCGTTCGCTGAGCAACTTTATGGCGTGTTCCATGGCCTGAGCAGCTGCCGCAGAGTGGGCCATAATGGTACTAGAGCAACAGCATCAGCCAACGACAAGCGCTACGGAGAGCAAGAAGCTCAACAATATTAACAACAACAACAGCAACAATAACAATAACAACAACAATAACAATAGCAATAATAACAACAACAACAGCAGCGTCAACAACAACTTCATCTTCAAGCAGGAGGACAACAACAGCTGCGAGCCAACGGAATTCAAGCGACAAAGGACGAGTCACAGCTCGAGCCACCACAGTTCGAATCACAGTTCGAGTCACAGTTCGAGTCACAGTCATAGTCTGCACAGCCATTTGGCCGCCACGCCGCCACAACTGCAGCAACGCCTGAGCGGCGCCTCCGCCACAGCAGCAGCAGCAGCCGCAGCAGCAGCCGCTGCCGCCGCCGCCTCTAACAGCAGCAGCAACAGCAGCAGCAGTGCTGTCACAATGCCGTCGGAGGGACTGCATCCGACGGCCGCTTTGCAGCTCTATGCGGCCGCCGCCCAGCTGGCGCCCGGCGGGGTGCGCGTGCCGCCCTGGGGACCCTTTCTGCAGTTCGGAGTGCCCGGCGTATTCGGACCGAACGGCCCGTTCCTGGGCCGGCCGCGCTTCGAGGCGTCGGCCGGCGGACATCCCACCACAGCCGCTGCAGCTGCAGCCGCCACCCAAATGGCGGCGGTCAATGCGAGCAATGCATTCGCCAATCTTACGGGCCTCAGCGCCGCGGCGCTCCGCAACGTCAGCGCCGCCCAAACAACAGCCGTGGCAGCGGTCGCCAGCACCGTGGCCACCATCCAGCACCGGCTCATGATTGGCAACCGGCAGAGCCTGCCGCCGGCGGGGCCGCCCAGCGAGGGCTCCAATGAGGATGGCGGTAAGTGCCCAAGACCTTGATCAATCTAAATCTGCAAATGTGGATCGACATGCTCTGGCTGTAGCACTGCATCTGATATATCCGAGCATGTTGAAACCACTAAAGCGTGAAGCTACCGTTGCTTCATAACGGACTGGAATAGTTGAATGCAAAACACCATTCCCCTGGTCTTCAATGAATCGAAGCAATCTAAAGATGAGATCTATTAAAGCGTGCCATCTAAGAACTCCCATTTGGTAGTAGTTTTCGTAGTAGATCTAGTAGCAGATTAGGTAGTTGATTAGCTTGATTAAAGCAAAGTTTAAATTACATGAACAGAAGATATTTAAGTAAATTTAAATTCTTAAACCCGTATGGAATGCATTTGGACATCGCAAGGCAAATATATAATTATTGTAACTATTGATACATATGTATAGGAAAATGCAATATATGAGGAAGAGAACAGAATGGAATATGTTTGTTTACTTTTATTTTTTTTACACAGGTACATATAGATATGCTTTGTGTTCTCTTATTTATACAACAATATGTAATATACATCTTTTAAATGCCAATATTATATTGATTAAATAGAATTGGGTCAGTGGACTTCGTATTAAAGAAGACTCATTTACGAGGTACTTATTCCAGGATTAAACTTAACAAATCTAAAGAGATATGTATAGTATTAAAGGATATATTATTATTATATAGAAAACTCTTTGAATGTATCTGTTTATATAGCTGAAAATGCACATCATAGATTAAACATTTTTTTGAAGCTATAAGGAAATCTTAAATTACTGATTTTTTTTTTTTTTTTTTTATCAAAAAATCTTAAGAATGTGTGACTCTCTTTGCAGTATCTTTTTGATTAGGGTTATTGAATCTGTAACAAATCTTCATATTCATTCATTTATTTTTTCGTTAAATTGAAGATATTTATGCTAGATGCTTAAGATATCATTTCATATTTTATATGATATTCCCAAGTTTTTGAAAATGATTTTTAAATATCTTCATCATTATATCATCATTTCAAACCATGTATAATATTCCTACTGTTGAGTATTAAATCGCAAAATGTATAGTCGATAATTTATGACATTCCCATTTTATGTTCATAGCTCTTCAAATATCATAACAAATCTGATATTCCTATTGTTTTCCAAAGTTCTATAGCTACATAAGCTCTTAATTATTAAAATTTTCGTATTTTTGATTGCTCTTTAACTGAGTCTAAACTGGATACGGTCCTTCTTCGCTTAGTTTCCTAGTAAATAAAGTTTATCTTCTAATCGATAACATATCGATTATTGAAAACTTTAACAAATATTGATAATTACATATGAATTCCTGGGAAAGACATGTTAATCTTAATTAGTTGAGTCATGCATACCCAAAGAATGTTATTAATATAAATACGTGTAGGATTATGATTTCAGAGAGAGAGAGATAGAGAGAGTTATCATCCAAATACCCATTTCCATTTAAGTACAGGGCAGCAATTGGCTAATCAGAGTCTGGAGGTCAGTTCCCAAGTGCCTCGCGTGAGGGACGAGTGGGTAGATGGGCTGAGCTGTTGGGGTTATCGAGAGAGGCAATTTTATTATTATTATTATTTTTGTGTGTGTGTGTGTGTTTTTTTTTTTTTTTTTATTAAGTATAATCCCAGTTGGAAATTACTAGATCTATTCAAATAAAAATGTTATTTTTTTTTTTTTTATTAAGATCCACCTCCTGTGCGTTATCTGTGGCACGTCGCAGTATGCTAATTCATTCAATTAGCCGTGCGCTAAACGTATTGGGATTGTCAGCTTTTGCCAGTCGCTTGACTTTTGCTACCTACAAAACTTATTTATTGATTTAGCTAATCAGCGAGCGCTTATTATGTAAAAATCCGATTGATTTAGCATACAAAGTAGCTGCGAGCCTCGAACCGGGAACTATTAATATAAATACATATATGATTTGTGCTACCTGCTGAGCGATCTGCTGAAGGTCGCATTCAGCAAGTGGAATTCGTGTTCGATTTCGAGCTCGAGCTGGAAGTGGAACTCGGCTCTGATTCCGAATCGCCGTGAATGACAATGACAGAAGTCGCCTCTGATCGGTTTCATGATCGTCATTAGGCACATTTTAAGTATGGGCTCTACACGCGTTTTCCATTCACATTTTAGGCAAATATTCGAGACTCTATTCACGACTCTGACAGTTCTGCCATTAATATAACCATATACGATTTATTGAATAGCTCCGAGTCTATAAGCTCGACTCGGAGTATTAATTAGCAAATTGGGCCAGTCAGACTCAGGCGAGAATGGCATTTGTTATGGGCGTAAGCATATAGCTATAAATATGCATTCATCTTGATGAATACTTACAAATTGTGAACAAGATTTCCATATGGAATTAGCCAACGTGAACAACAGATATTCATATCGCGATATTGATATATTTCAATAGAGTTCAAAATCGAATTGATAGCAGAAAGAAGACTTAAATAGCGACAGAATGTGCAAATTCCTTAGTGAAAGACAATTTATTTCTATTATGTGGATTCAGAGTTCGTTTCAGAAATTGAAAGAATTATTGTATAGCCAGTGAAAACGTTGACGAAAGCGCCACGGAGAGGAGGCACCAATGGAAATACCTGGTAAATGCCAGATATAGAAAGAATGACGTAAGGATGTAAATGACAGAACAAAGAAGAGAGAGAAATATACAGAGAAAGAAAGAGATATGGAATCTGTCAAAAGAAATATATATATATACGTATATATAGGAATAACAAGATAGATATATATGTATAGACAGATAGAGAGAGGGAGGCAGCAAAGGATAATACTTTAAAGGCTTTGAAAACCCCTCTTCTCAGAGGAAAAACATTGAATGAAGAACAGAAAGAGAGCGAAAGCCTAAGAGAGATAGAGAGAGACAAATGACGACTGTTTCAAATCATTTAGTAAACATGAGATCGAATCAAAGCTGTTTGCTTTTTTGGTGACTAAATGCTTTTTCCTTCAGACAATGAATTCCTTCCACCTCGTGTTGCGTAATGCATTAAGCTTACCGACTCAAGAAACCCTTTTTCTTAGACTGACTCGCATCAGAAAACCGTGTGCTATCCCTCATTAACTTTGTTTTCATGTGCTCTCACTGAGCATTATCGTTGGAGTTAATGAGTTCAAGTCGCCTAAGTCTAAGTAAGTAGAGAACTTATAATGCCATTTCTTATATGTAGTCAAGTCTCTCTGTCTATCTTGTCATTGAAGTAGATCATATTCAGTTCTGGGTTATAATGTGTTCGAATGCTTATAGACGAAAGCCGGACCAAAGACAAAGCTGAAATATCTTATGATCTCTTTATCCACCTCTCTCTCCCACTCTCCCGCTCTCACTCACTCTCTCGCCTCTGTCTTTCTCTGTTTGCCCATTAGCCTAACCCAGCCCAGTTGCAGTTGTTGGGCCCAAATTGATGAGCTCATGCCCGACAATTGCCGTCCATTCCACTACACTCTGATTGCCCACTGCCTCTGCCTCTACCTCTGCCTCTGCCTCTGTCACTGCCTCAGCCTTGGCCAAGAGCCAAGTGGCAGGAGACGTCCTTGTTGGAGCCGCGGCTCATTGGCCAATTAGCATTAACAAATGACGGCTAGTTGGTGTAATTATGGCCATAATGCATATATCCAATACCGGGTCGAGACAACAGTTTTGGGGGCGTGGCATGCGAGGCGCGTACTCCAAGTGAGCAGCGTTTTTTCCCCTTTTTCTTTTTCATTCACTTTTTTATTCTTCTGTCGAGTGCGCCGAGGGGGATGGCGAGGGGGAGGAGACATGTTTAATTAATTGCCAGGCAACCGATGAGCCAGGGAGGGCGACTGTCTGCGCCCACTTCCTGACTGCGTCGCCATTTTAAAAAGTAATTATTAATTTGATTTGATTCAATTTGATTAGGCCAACGCGCGATGGCAGATAGGAACCAGCTCCCAGCTACGGCGCCTCGACGTGGGCGCACGCAGCGATGGCGGGGGCGAGGGCGGGGGCGTGGCATGTCGCGGTATGGCGTGTGTGGTTGGGTGGGTGTTGGGATCGCTGCAAGAGGTGGCAGAACGGGGAACGCCTCAGCTGTGTGTCGTTGCCAAAGCTCATTAATCATTGCGAGTCAAGACAAAAACAAAAAGCTGAGAGAAAAAAAAAAAAACAAAGAAAAGCGTTTGCTTGTGTAAGGGGTAAAGCGAGGGTGTGTAAGTGTGTGTGTGTGTATGTGTGTGTGTGTGTGTTTGTGCTTGGTGCACATCACCATCAGTCAGTCACATGGCCATGCTCCGGTTTTTTGGCTTGGCTCCGCTTTTGCTCATTTCATGCCGGAAATGAAGAAACTGTCATAAAACGATCGAAATCATTTATCATGCGATTTTTCGCTGGGCGCCGCCATTTTGTTTTGCCTTCGTGGTCTTCTTCTTCATTTTCTTCTTGCCGACGTTCTTCCTCTTTTGTTTTGTATTTGCTTTGCTGGCACTTCGTAATGAATCCGAAATGAGCTGAAGGAGTTGCAAGAGGCAGCACTTCCGCCTCGTGAACGACATCTGACAGATGATGAATCGCTCGCTGGCAAATAGATTTGATTTCAATTTGAAAAGTATTTCCGTCTCGTAACGAGGTTGTTGGGTCAAGCGCAGGTCCGGGAGGGCCCTGCACGGAAGTCTAAACGAAGAAAAAACACACACAGAAATAATAATAATTATAATAATTATCGAAAGAAAGTTTCTCCCATCAAGAGAGAGAATTCAATAAGCGAGTGGGAGAGCCAAAGCAAATGATTTACAGCTTGACCAACTACTACTTCCAGTGATCAATTAATTCGTAAAGAAAATAAGTTCAAAGTCTATGTTATGCACTGATTCATTCAGGAATTGCATCAATTTTATTATCATCTGAATATCAACAACATCGACTCTTAGTAATGCGAGGTAGAGGTTAGAGAGAATAGAATCGCTAGCGGTCGAAAACGTTTACGAAATCATCATAAAATTGACTCGCAAAGAAAAAAAACAAATTGACAGAAGGAAATAGTGAGCAAGGGAAGATAGAGGGAGAGAGAGGGAGAGCCAGAAGGAGAGAAAAAGATATGCAGAGAGCTAAAGACTTTGGGTGAGTTAAGAGATATACAGAGAGAGAAAGAGAGAGAGAAAGAGAGACAGATAGAAAGAACATAGATATGTAGAGATAGAGATAAATAATCCGGATGGACTGGAGGAGCGAAGGAATGCTAAATAGAGTGAAGAAGGAAGCAGAAAGAAATAGAAATACAGCAATAGAAAGATGGTCAAAAGTAGTTTGGATATAGTAAATAAATTACCCACAGATACTGAATCGATTGAATTGAATAGTGAATACCCTGTCTGGCTGTGTCGCTCGTCCGATTGGGTTGATGGGCTTCGTGCTGGACATGCAACTAGTGCCGCGCTCTAAGCATTTGACTTTTGGCTGCAATTAGCTTTCAGCTTCTAGCGAAGCCACCAATCAACCCCCAGCCAAGTCCTTAGCCACCTGGCGCCCCTCCCTCCTCAACGTGCTTCGCCTGGCAAGCGGAGCTCCTCTGGGGCAAATTGTTGTCGGACAGGCTCCTTTTTTTCGCGCTCCTCTTTGCGCTGCTTCCCTGCTTCCTTGTTTGTTGTAGTTGCCTTAATTTTTATGACTTAAGTGGCCCGCGCGTCTTGCCAGGGGCGGACTCAGCAGCGGACGGGGCGAGGGGGGTTGGCAGTCGGCTAGGGGTGTGTGTAACTGTTATATTGCTCGAGTGACGCGCGCTATAAACGAACCGAACATGCCACGGAATGTGTCTGTGGCATGCACACAACTCGTTTTCGCTCTGATTTTGTTGCGACTGGTTTTTTTTTACATTTTTCGTGCACTTTAAGGTTAGGGCCGACAGCGTGCAGCGTTGCCGAATTGCAGGGGCAGCCAAAGGTGTGGCAGCTGCTTGGCTATCGCTTCGTTGCATTTGCCATTTTCCACTTGCCACATGCCACTTGCCACTCGCTGGGCGCAATAATCATAATAAATTTCAATTATCCTGAGCAGCACAAATCACAGAAAGTCGCCGTCCCCGCCTCATCTCCACCTACTCTCGTCCCTCTGCTGCATGTAGAGTGCAAAACTCTGGCCGAAACATGAATTATGTGTGCACACAAAGAGAGAAACAGGGAAAGAGGGAGAGGGGCAGAGAGGGAGAGAGAGGGCGGGTAACTGTTATTATTAAGTCATTTGAATGCACTTTGTGTGCATGCCAGACCGCCCCACAAAACGCACTCTCCCATACACACACACACACACACACACACAAATGGAGTCAGACTCACACAGACAGAGGGCAACTGAAGTCTGGCAACGCTGCGCCCTTTGGCCTGAACGTTTTGTTAGGCGTTTGGCGTTTGTCGCTTTGCTCTTAATGTCTCTATTATTGTTGTATATTTGCTGTTGTTATTGAGTTATTAACACACACACACATACACACATACAGGCAGACCTATATCGCGTCTAGCTGACCGTCGCGCGTCGTTTAAAACAAACGAGTTTTTTGTCGCTTTGGCCAAGCGTTGCGGCAAATGTTACAGCGCCTTGCGCATAATTAGATACACTTAACAGCAAACTGCACAAGACCCTTCATTAGGGGCGTGGCCCAAGTGTGTGTACCGAGGGTTAGTTGCTGTCTAGTTCCACATTAGGCCCTAGCGCTGGCTCCGGCTCTGGCTCTGGCTCTGGCTCTGGCTCTGCCACTAGCTCCAAGGATATGTTTACAAAGTGGCAACAATGTGTGCGAGTGCATAACTTAAGCCATGCTTAACCGTATATTTACTTACTCATATATAGATAGCATATCTATATCGTAATAACTGCATTTATGGCTATTCTATTCGAAGCGGCAGTCGTGTTAATTCTACCTGCACCTAATTCGAAATTCGAATGCGATCGCAATGAAATGGGCTTTGCATAATGCATGAATTGAGGCATTTGACTTGGGCATTTTAGGCACTGCCAAGAATGGAAACATATAAATACATAGTTGTATGTTAATTTACATGTATATCTGAGGTAATTACGATAGGCGAAGCTCATTTATTGATTTATATTCCTGAGTTCGAGTTTGTCTACCAATTTCTTAATTTCCAATTCGATGCTAATTCATATTTTAATATTGTATATTTGACAACAACCTATAGATCCACTCAAGCTCTCTTAATGATAAATAATTTAGAGCTTAAAGCTGAGAAGGAAATTTCGTTTGAAAAATTATTTAGACAAGTTTTGAAAATTGAAGAATGAAGAAAAAATTATTCAAATGAATTATTGTAAAAATATATTTTTTGTTGATATGAGCTATAATAATAAAAATTCTTTATTTTATTTTAGTGAAAATATATATAAAATGCCTACATTTCTTTTCCATGTTTTAATTAACAAAGCATTGAACATAAATTAATATAAAAATTCACTTAGAGATTGACTTAATAAATATATATAAACACATATATGTATGTACATATCACGCTGTTTAGTATTAGTACATACATTACACACATTCTGTAATATATAAAAAATCTTTAGATATTGGAAATTTTTAATACCTCGGAACAGTTTTTATTATTATTATTATTAAGGAACTCTTTTTAATACACTGAACATTTTCTGATATTCATGTACATACATACATATATATATACATATGTATGCTGCTCATTTCTTAAAGGCTCGTAGATCTGCTTCTGCTATATATATATATGCTTAAGGAATCTTCAAAATTGTCTCCGCTTCCACCTGAACCTCTCTGGCCGCAGGTACATCCAGAGGGGAGGGTACACTTTGCTCTTTGCAAACCCCATTCAGCAGACCTATGCAGTTGGCTCGCGCTGTATTTGAGGCCAGTTCTCTGAATCGTCTCGGACAGCAACACCTTTTAGGCTTTTGTCGGCTTTTGTTGCGATTCTGCTGCGGCTCGATCGCGCAGTTAATTTGATAAATTGCTCAGCTCTTGCATGCCACTCGGACCTCTGTCCGGTTGTCTGGCTCGGCGTCTGCCCGTCCGGTCCATCTGTGCATGCCACGCCCCCCGCTCGCTTTGGCATATGGAAAACTATGCGACGCAAAGGGAATGGGCCGAATAGAAACGTAATTAAATTGTTGTTTTTAAAGCGAGCCAGGACATGGCAAATGGATTTAAGCGCAAGAGGACTGAGAGGGGGGGGGGGTGTTGCCGGAATGGGAGGGAGAGACACATTATCAGCATGCATGGACCGCTGGCCAAGCGGGGCGCGTTCTAATTGAAATATATGATTATGAATATTTATGCATTTCATTTCGTTTTCCAATTGTATTTGTATATATTTATAATGTGTGTCTCTCTCTCTCTCTCTCTCTCTATTTATATCTATTGAGCACTCTCTCTCGGTATGTGTGTGCGTTTTGTCTTGACTAATTTAAATAACACTTGATCTGGGAGCTCTTTTGTGAGATAAGCCCCAGTCGTCCCCAACTCTGAGTCCCACTGGATTTAGTTTTTAGTTTGGGCCAACCGCAATTAGTTTCAATTAATCCTAATGTCTCTCACTCTTGCAGGCTTCCCCGGCGATGGGGACGACGACAGCAGCGCCGCGAAGCGTCGACGCTCACGCACAAACTTCAACTCGTGGCAGCTGGAGGAGCTGGAGCGCGCCTTCTCGGCCAGCCACTATCCGGACATCTTCATGCGCGAGGCCCTGGCCATGCGGCTCGACCTGAAGGAATCGCGAGTTGCGGTGAGTTCAGTTGCGATCGAACGCACCCAGAAAGCTGTGCGCCTGCCGGAGAGTTCACCTTTGCTGAGATTATACGCTTTGTTCCAGATAGGTATGGTTCCAGAATCGACGTGCCAAGGTGCGTAAGCGCGAGCACACCAAAAAGGGTCCCGGCCGGCCCGCCCACAACGCCCAGCCGCAGACGTGCAGCGGCGAACCGATCCCTCCCAACGAGCTAAAGGCCAAGGAGCGGTAAGTGAAGCAATTACAATTTATTATCATCATGAAAAGTTTGTACTATCATCTACGTGCTGCAAATTGCCAACACTTGAGTGATATCAATCTAAGACCGTAGTATTTGCACAAGTGTAGTAGCTCTTCCATAATAGTTCTTACATAATTAAGCAAGGGAATCTTTTTTTTGTTATCTGAAGAGTTCAATCCATACACTGAGTATATATGGGCACTCTAGTAAGAGGCATTGGAGAAATACATTTTAAGGCTATCCAAATTAATGTCTCAACTCACCTTAGTTCTTCTTAGTATTCTAAGTTGCCTTCCTAACTTCTATTATATTCTGTTACATACATAAGCCCATGTAGAATTCATCCCTATTGTATGTCTATATTGTTACACTCTGATAAATATTACATCTTCTAATATCTTGCATAGCTTTATAGTTTTTGTAAACATGAGAATATTTTTGGAGAGTTTTACTTTTCGCATACATTGATTCAGCAGCTAATTGAGAAATTCCGATCTACACTACGTTTTCCCTTCCTTATAATTTGTATACATAGCACAGAGACGTATGATTATCATAAATTAATCACAAAAATTGAAGGCTGACTCACATCAATCAAGAGTTTGAATTCAAAAATGGAATTAAAATACCAAAAAGTTATTATGACCATAAGAATTTCTTTAAATAATTTTCGGATTTCCCAAATAAAAACAGAATTGGTATGGAATACACTTGAATCTATTGCAACTGCCATATTTTGAGACTCTAGCTTTCAATCGATAACACTAAATCGGGAATAGTTATCGACTTTTATGAAATTTATAAAATTTTTAAATTTGATTTCAAATTTTCAATGGGTCTAGGGTATAAAAATATATGTTTAAAATTTGAATATTTAAACATATATTTATTTGAAAGTATCCCTTCCGCATTGTGAGTATATATTCATGCCATCTTTGAGAAATCGCTGCTAAGTATTTATGCATTGCCTTCCAAAGGCATATCTAAATTCTTTATTTATCTCTTCCTTATGTACCTGGAAGATCTAAGTGAGACTCTGATACACAAATATGGAAATTTTAGGAATATATAAATATCCTTTTGTAGACCCTATTTGCACTTCTAATCGGGACATTCTCTTCCCCCCATCTGCTCCATCTATTGCAGAGCGCGACGGCGCAAGAAGCTGGCCAAGGCGATCGACAGGCAGGCGCGCAAGCTGCAGGCGAAGGGGATCACCGTCGACCTGGAGGCGCTCAAGGCCGAATACATATCACAGCACAAGGCGAACGGCACGTTCTCCGACTCCGACCTGGAGGACGACGGCATACAGATCGATGTGGTGGGCGGCACGGACAGCGACGACGAGCTGGACAGCGACGCAGTGAGTCCGCCCCGCATGGGCGGCGGCCACCACCCACTCTCGCACTGCGACGGCGATGGCGACAGCTCGCGCGCCGGCAGCTACATTGGGGGCGGCGGCAGCCTGGGCAGTCCCAGCTCGGCGGCGCCAGCGACGCTGCACGGCAGCAATGGGGCAGGCGGCGCTGGTGCTGCCGGCGGCGGAGGTGGTGGCGGTGGTGCTTGTGGTGCTGCTGGAGGTGGCAGCTATATGCACTCAGAGCAATCCGATGGCGGCGAGATGGATGAGCGCGAGTCGGCATCGCCCAAGGCGCTGCTCTTTCCCGCCAAGGCATTCCACCAACTGAACCTGCAGAGCACACAGCACAGCCACGGCCACAGCCACAGCGCTGCGGCAGCGACGGCGACGGCGGCAGCGGTCGCAGCAGCGGCCAATCTCGTCCATCAGACCTTGCCCATCAGCATGCGGCGCAGCAATCCGTTCAGCATCGAATCGCTGCTCTTTAACAATACGTGAGGCACTCCAGCTGACAACTGGAGCTGGCGCTGGAGCTGGAACTGGAGCTGCAACTGGAACTGGAACTGGAACTGGAGCTGGATCTGAATCTGAATCTGGGCTGGTTCTGCTGCTTAGAGGGGGTCAGTTTAGAGGTTTTTGCTCTGTTTTTGATTACAATTTCCTCGTCATTTGAATTATGAGTTCCTAAATGTTTCTTCTTCTCCGTTTTGCTCATTTTGCGTGTTTTTTGATGTATTTAGGGTTTTTTTAGTCTATGTTTTTTTTTTAGTCTATGTGTAAACAATCTACAGTAAGGGGTTTCCTTTTATGCTTTCACTTTTCAATCCAGTTCGGGGCTGCGAGCTTAACTATAGCTAAGTGATTTTATTTATTATTAATTAATTAATTTTTTTTTTCTTACTTTGTATTGTTCCATGAGAGACTAAAAATTAGCTTCGTAGTGCGCATTTTACATTA